CATTACTGACTCCTTGCTGGCGTAATAAATAAAAATGGTCGGGTATTTGAATTCTATTGTGCTTGTATCGGAATTTTGCAGACATGCTGTAACAAGTTTTGTGGGTATGACGCCACAGAATTTTCAGGGGGGTCAAATTAGTAATTAGGATAACGTGATCAGATCCCAATTGGCAAGAATTTGGGGTTGCTATTGCTGAACTATTGCTGGCATTTGTTGCTAAAGGGTAATTTTTCTGACATTCATGATGTAAATGAACGATACATATAATTCGCACCACACGATACCAGAGAACATGTTGTCAAATACTGGTTCTATTCTGTTGTACGTGAGGGTTTGTAATGCTAGAATTGGATCGCGTTCTTGCATAATTTGTATGTATCTAGCAACGAACATCTTGCGCTGATATTTGTATATTTTCTGATGCACGCTGGTCATGCGTATCGTAATAAGCTTATGGATATTGGTATTCTGGGCGGGTGTGCTGGAAAGATACAGCAAGTCAGGAGACTGAAGTAGTTCTCTAACCATATCGCAACTGAAGATCAAGAAAGCAGATACGCAAAATAATGCTTATATCAATGGAGCCTAACGTGTTGCGATCCGACTGTCATCTCACAAATTCATATTTCACATGTATACTGGCAATACAGACAAGGCTGATAACCGTTAACTAAGAGACCGTTTATGTCACTATTAAAAGAACGTTGCCGGAACGATTTTGAAAATAAAGTATGACGTTAATTGTAATTACAATGCAAACATTCGATTTGTTTTTCTTTAAAGAAAAATTCTATCATAACTTACAAATGCGAATTATGCTGTTCCCATGTTCGCGCGCGGAAACTTTATTATAATAGTTATATAAAACCAGTCTTCCCAAATACATCTGTCCAACCATTTATCTTTACACTCATCAACAATATCATTACTTAAGGTGCTCTTCCAAGCAATGTCTTTTTGTCCGTCTACACCGCCAAAAGTTCTCCATAATTTCTCAAGAGAGCAACGGCCCCAGCGAACACTATGATAGACATGGCAGTTTCCAAGTTCCCTCGACGTTTACTGGGAGCGAATATTTCGTCGCGAAGGAAACGAACGATTCCATTGGTTTCATCAGAGTCGCTGTCCATAACTGGTACATGATCATAATATGCAGACGGGACTGCATAGTCACCGGACAGTGCGCCTCGTTTCGCCATTTCTTTTCTTTTTTGACAGTATTGACGGGGAAAGAAAAAGTGTCAATTTTTAGACATCGGATCGTCCTGTTATTATTGGTTCATTAACGCGTGACTTTCCGATTTCAAAATAAAAAAGGTACTTTTTTCTGATTCAATCACGATTTTCACTTATAATGAATGCAAAGAATGACTATCAGACAAGGTTCATTTTTGTTATCAGCGTAATTCTGACCGATATTAGTTAACAAACCATCCGAATTATGGTATTATCATAGGCATACTACAGCACATACATCATTCATTACCACTACGTGCTAAGTATACATTTCGAGGATCAATTCTATATTGTGAGGAACAAGACCACTCTTTAAATCCATTAAATATGTTCGTTCGTTTGCATCGAGGTGCCTTGTTCTAATTTTCCTCTTTCTCCGTCATCAGACACAACTGCGACCAAAAATACAACCATAACCGCGCATGCTCAATACCCACACGCTGTAATTCCACAGCGAACGAAAACTAAATTCGGCAATGACTTTCCGCCCTCTGCCATCTATCACTATGTAGCTTACTACAGATTGCTGTACGAAAACCGCCTTGTCCTTGTCCTTCAACACAACAATCTAACAATAGCCGAGCAACACGAACTTCGAAAAGAACTAGATAAAAAACAAGCCAGTTTAACAGTGATCCGTAGAGGAATATTCTTGGCGATGCTTAGGCGAACGGTCGAATATGCCAACTTGCGACCATTAATCGTTGGTCCAACAGCTTTGATTACGTCTAATGTATCAGATGAAGAAAATCCCAAACTTGTATCTGATTTGCTGTCTGCAATAGACAAGCATAAAAAGTTCCTCCTAGTTGGCGGTAAATTTGAGAATAGTTTGTTAGATCCTATGGGAATAGAAGAAGTGGGGAAATTGCCAAGCTTGGCTATGTTACGTGGACAATTGTTAGGATTCCTTGGGTCGATTGGGCAGGGAATAGTTGGTGTGTTGGGACAGAATGCGCAGAGTATGGTATTCACGCTTCAGATGCATAAAGAAAGCTTGGAAAAGAAAGCGGGAACAAATGACGGACAGAACGAAGAATAAAAGAAAAGTACAACGAACGATTGCTTGTAGTGTATGTATACATGTGGTTGCATTTCCAATGTCTCGTCCCTGATCGGATTGTGCTGACATACGTTCACTCTTCTCGTCAAACGCGTGTCTTGCAACGATATCTTATCACAATATTACTGTATAAAATACTGTGTTCTATTGCGTCAACAGAAATCTTACTTTGATGTCTATTTTCCTAATTGCATAAACTATGCACATTCCTCAAGTTATTATTGAACCACTAGTGAGTTTTGTTGTCTTCATGCCCGCATGAATTAAATAAGTTCGCCTTCCTCTTTAACCACCACAAGTACACATTTCTGGTTACTCCATTGTTACGAACCATTCGAAAACATCATCCCATATTTCAAAGTATAGCATATGTCCTTTTCCCTCGACCACTCTCAATTCGGCTCCTGTTTCTTGAGCAATATATTCGGCCATGTCCACCGTAGTTCCAATGTCCAGCGCTCCTTGCCATACTTTTATCCTAAGAGTTTTATTATCGCTAGCGTCTTTTTTGGCTTCCATCTCTCCACCGTCCTGGTCTTTTCCTACCACCGTCTCTCCTTTCAATTCGTTCAGTTCAAATCCCCACGACTTTCCCCACAAACTCAGCTCATAGCATTCAGTGTTCGATTGCCCACGTGTATACATCTCGAGTGCTGACTCTATAAACATACTTTCTATTCCCGGCATCGCAGCACATATATCTACGTCTGAGGATGGTCCTTCCATGAGTGATTCACGGAAAGAAGAGGCAGGATCTCTGAGGGAGTTTCGAGCTTCAAGCTTTACAAATATTGATAAAATGCGAGGGGAGTGTCGCGTCAGCCACCTAAACGCAGACGAACAGGAGTGGATTGAAGATAACCCATGTTGGATATGACAACAAAACAAGTGATTTGTTAGTTTCAATCACTAATGGTTTACAAAAACGAACACGACTACTAGGCCATGAAAAATGATAACATACCAAGCAATTTTAAATTTTAAAGGCATTCTCGAAGTGCACCCAGGAGTATGGTAAGGCGCAACAGAGCTTATAACAGCCAAACTTCTCAATCGTACACTTCCATCCTTCTTACCCAATACTTTTCCAACAGCCAACCCGAACGGCCCGCCAGCCGAGTAACTTATCAGATCGAATTCTGTGATCCCCTTTTCAATACACAGCTCTCGAACATCCTCTGCAAAGTCAAGCATTGTTCGCTTTGCAAATGTAGACAGTCCGATTCCTGGACGTTCTAAAACTATTAGTGTGACTCTTGCGCGATTATGAGAAGAAATGGCAGGATCGGAAACCGAGTTTGAAGGATCATTATAGGCATCTCCATCCGGGATCAGACTATCGATCACATTCGGATGGCAGAAAAACCGTGACCCTGGCAATCCGGGAATCAACAATACAGGCCGAAGTTGTCTTTTTGGTTTTTTCGTAAATTGATGATAAAATTGATATTCCTTGTATCCCATCACTCTCCCATCATTGAGTTGTATTGTTCCGCCTTCGTTTTTGGGAAAGTTCAAATAGTCGAGGCTTGAATATTGCATGTTCTTTCGGTATGTAGAAGGTACCATTGGATGTTATTCGATAAAGTAAAAAGAGGATATTGTATGTCGACACTTGGACAGTATTAGTATGAACCTGTTGGAAAGTTGGATGCGATGACATTAATCAACATTTGTGTGGCGAACACGTGATGGGAATTTACGGCATTACGATTACTGCGAGCAATAATCTGATTTGTGCGATAGTGATTGTGCAAGATTAGTATAACAATGCAATAAAACACATAATAGGCCTGTTCCGTTCCAACCCCTGATTGGTGGTTCAAAATCACATGATTGGACACGAAAAATTTGCAACGTCCATTCGTTCTTATCTGTTCCCTATCGCGAGGAACTTTTATTCACAACGAGGTGCTCGCTAAAGCCCAGTTTAAACTGTTTTTGTTACGGTCGGATGGTCTGGGGTTTGGGAGAGCGATTAAATCTTTCGCATAGGAGAAAGAATAAACAAATTACCTCATCGGCGTTACGTGTAGAAATTTAAAGTGTTTGGGGACGCGACAAATCGTAAACATAAACAATAAACAATTTCATACACGAAGCTGAAATTAGAAGTCAACCGCGAGATGACCTTCCTTTTTCGATTTAAACGTTCATTAACGTTAGATGCTACGTTAATATTAAAGTGATATTAAGCGCTAGATGATACGCATATTAAGCATTAGATGCCACGTTAACTTTAATATTAAGCGTTAGAAACTTACCTTTCGTCAATGGGTACATTTTATTCAGTGCACGCGTGCGTTTAAACTTCAGCCCGTTTTACTTCAACCTCACGAATATATACGGTTATAGTTTTTGATAGAACATGTAAAATGTTTGTTGCTATTTATACAACTGCTGGAAAAAAGAATAGTGTTATATCTGAAGCTTCGTTTCATTTATGTAGCCATCAATAATTATGAAATAAGTTAAAACTCTTAGGGTAACTTTAGATATCCCAAACAACATGGGTTCTTATTTATTGTCTGATTTAATGATAGATCTTACGTATCAACTATCGGTTTTTGAGTAATGACAGATCATAGTACAAGCTGCAATCATGCAAGTGTAACATCCAATCATTCTCCGAGAACTACAGCCCGGCGTTTTCGATACGTAAATATTAATATATGAGTTGTGAATTTAAATGTCTCCACTCAGTCACTAGTATCTCACTACTGCAATATACGCAAACATGCTTCAAAGACTGAGACATTTAGTATTAGATAGAGAAAAAGTAATGGTCAGTGCACTTGCATAGCCTTGATATGTAACGGTTCACTCATTGCTGCAAACAGAAAATTATATAACTACTATTGCATAAGACGCATAGTACTGATAGTATAATAAATGATAATTGTTTAATTGTATATTTGGACTTAGTGTGTACAGTACACTGTAAATCAATGTTTATTATAGTATGCCTTTTGTTGTATTACATACTTGTTTACCGTCATGGGAATCTGGTTGGGAATTTTTCCCATGCAAACATTCAGTATACATCATAGCAAAGTACAGTATATTAATATTAGCTGGGTACATCTGATGAGTCAAAAAGGAAGATTGTTTTTTAATTTTCGAATAACAGAACCTCTGCAAAAAGTTAATGCTAATGACATTCAGTAATATGAGCTTCACATGAATATGCCTTATTTTTGTAACACAACATACATGAAATTTCAATGTTTATGCCAAACCCGAAAAAATAACATTATAATTAGGAATATTGTCACAACCTGAATGTACCCCCCCCCCCCCACACTTCACCATGAAAAAGCAAGCAACGAAGGTGGCATCGGCATAGCCCCTCAAGTTTAAAAAACGGTTATCTGACACGTCTTCTGACTATATACTATCACTCACAACGCCGCCTTCAGTCTCTGATGCATCATCCACAACATCAATATCATTCGTGACAGCTGGTGTTAAAAGAAAGAGGGAAGGTTAGTATCGATATTAATGTAATTAGTCATCTAGAAACCTTTCTGTCTAAGAGACGCTGGTTGTACTCACCAAACAAGTGGTATCATTATCAGAAGAATTTCGGTGATGAGTTATTGATGAGACAGCATTAGAGACGTAAGTGGAGAAATTAAAGAATTTAATCACTTGTCAGATACATTGCTTGTATGATAATGAGGGAATGAATTGATCATGTCAATGCTCACATTAACTCTTTGTAACTTGGTTTGTATTAGGATACTTTTACTATCGACTGTAGAATAGACATTGGTCATGTGATCAAAGTAGTTCAGCTGCCAATCGAGCGCATCATTGTCTAACCAAACCCAATTCCCGCAGCACAACATCGATCATCGGTTATCCCAGACTCAGTCACCACCCATACCAGTTGTCCCCCTCCAAGCATGCCCCATTACCAACCGGAATTGAAAAGAAATATAGCACTGACGTAAAGAGTAGTGGAGGACTATCGCTTTGTAGACGAGAAAAAGCTGCCACTACTGGAGGCGACCAAGAGTACAGGTATCTGTAATTGTAATACTGAGCATTATACAAAATATAGACTGCGACATGCGATGGCCTAGAAAAGACGTTAGATTCACCAACTTCCCTTTCGCATCCACTCATGACTTTTTTTTGTATTATGCTTACTAGACGATACCCGGTAAAACCGCGCACCCGAAATTAGACTATTTCAATCCACCATCGTGCCTCCACTCGGCAGAATTCGCCAACATCAAGACACTCCCAATCAATCCGAAACTCGCTTGAAAATACCGTCTACACCACATCCGCGCGGTTTTCGTCTAAAATACCAACTCCAACTGGAATAGCCACACGGTCATCAAAACCACAAACGCCACTTTGCCTTCGCCGAGCGGCTCAAAAACTAGCCGCCTGTCACCGAGGAATAGACGTCCATCAGGAAGTAGTATGTTGCAATCCGGTGGAAAGTTGACGCAAGTAACCACACGACTAGTGTCAACCAGTGGGAAAACGAGTGTTACTGGCTCTAATAACGGCAGCAAGAAACCTCGGAGAAATTGAATGCTGTACCGACCGCAACGACGAAAGTACAGCCGCAGTTGAAGCAGCTCATCTTTACAAAGGCGGACAGAATTTGAATCAACAGATCTATTGTGTTCAGACGCAAAGCCCAAGCGGGAGAAGAAGGACAAAGAATTTCATGCAAAAAGGTACAACCGCAGACAGCATTAAAGACATTCGGTCCATATCGTTTCTCAATACGAGAGTACAGAAATAGTCGAATACCCAAATGTATATTTCACTGCTCCCAATGCAATCAAGAAACCTGCAAGCACAGAACTGACTGGCTGTAACTTAGGCTCTTTTGGTCAAGTGTTAAAGTGTCTTGATCGTAAGACTGGCGAACATGTCGCAGTAAAGATTATCAGAAACAAGAAGAGGTTCCATTGTCAGGCCTTGGTAAAGGTCAAGATTCTAGAGTCTCTTGCTCGATGGGTAGGTCTAGAACTGATTTTTTTTGAAATTATGTGAAGTTACAGCTGCTAACATTCATTCTATATACCACGAATTCTGTATGTCCAGGATCCAGACGATAACCATAACAATTGGTACTTCAGAAACCATCTCTGTATTGCATTTACAGAATTAGATGAAGTATCCGCTGACGTGACTTCAAGAGAGCTTTGTTACGGATTTTCACATATAAAATCATTGTTAGAAACACATCTAATGGATCCGAACATTTTCGTAGACGATGAGAATAATGTTCCTCTTCAGTTTTCGCATCAGTAACACTAAGCAAAGGTAATATTATCAGAGCGAATACCAATTTCTGTGGTCAACCTTGGTTTAGCGATGTTGAAATATTGATGGACGATGAACAAGCACAAAACGTATATATTTTTACACTTCCATACAAAGTCTTCGGCGAAGACTTAGTTTGGGATATGCTTATAATGACAGTGATGTAAGTACTGTAATTGACGATTATATATGTGGACTTAAAAGACATTAATCACAACAGAATGTACTTCGAGAGTGACTTTTGGTATTTGTATGTTTAAAGGCTTCTTTGACACATGTTGTATTTAATTAATAAAAATACAATGGACGTATCATTATGCGAGACATATAGACTGTTTACACAACCATTTGTGCTTTCGTTTATAAGAAATCAATTAACACTTGATGTGAGACTACTTTTACAGGAATAATATGCAATATCAGTCGGAAATATTAAAATACCTTATTAAAGTAATTGAAACGCTTGATGAATCGCCTAATAAGCGTTTGCAGAAACCACACGTTTATGCGCGTCTAGATTAATGCTTTAAGTGCTCGGGTAGCTGTTGACTGTTAATCGTTTGAATATGCTTGACAAAACGCGTTATAAGCATTTGCAGAATTTACACGCTTATGCACAACAGATTCCTGATGCCTTCTAAGCTTTTCCAGTTGTATATAAGACCACATCATCCAAACGGGAGTGAGGGTCATATCCCATCAATCGGACTTTTATATATTTACCATACGTTAAGACTGTATTAGTAGAAGATTGAGATAATTCGCTACAGAATTGACCATGACCATCCGGAAATAAGTCGGGAAATAATGCTTCCAGTTCAGAGTCAGCAAATTTAATGGAATTTGTCGTTCGTCTTGTCTTTATCTAAAAAAAACCTACGGGAATAATGAGCATCTTCGTTATGTATTTCTTCAGGAAGGACATATTAATATGGAGGCATTACGATATCCGATGAATTTGCGGCTTGTGGAAGTGAGGAATACATCATATCGGGACAATAAATATTGTTATGTAACATGGAGTGCTGTGGCAGCTGTGGCATAGTGATAGACTAGCATATTATGCGATGAATATGTCGTACAGTAACGTGCAAAAGTATCCTACCGGTTGTATCATCTAAACGTACATAATAATAACTCCTTAAATTTTCCAG